AGGGCTCATCGCTGGTGGAATCGTGAATTGAAGACTTTCAAGAGAGTCCAATATTTGACCCAGACGTTTGTTCAGTACGAAGCAGGAAGTACATTCCGGTTGGAAACCACATTCTCGTAGCGCGGGCATGTTAATGAGGCTCGGGTAGCAATGAATGATAGATGGTTCGTTCCAATTGGCATCACTAGACAGTTACTTCTAAGGAACCGAACGTACTTTATCAATCACATGAGGTGCAAATTTTTGAATGCGCTACGGTATTTCTTGGCAGAGCAGTTTTCAAGGAGAGCAGGTGCAGCGCCTCCAATGTACCTGCCTTCTCTTTAGTCTCTCGTCGAGCATCCAGGGTACCTTCCTGCCTCATCAGACTGATCTCCGTCCGCAACGTCCCTCCAACGCCTATGACCCTTTCTACTTTTCTTCCGTCTCGCCACCGCAGGCGAGGCGATCGATATGGAGGCTTGTGGGGAAGCTTGGGTCAAGGAAAGTTCATGCTTCCGAGGTCTAGATGTCACTGCCCTGCACTTTCTGAAGTACGATTCGGGAACATGGAGCAAGACGTAGTGAGGAATCCATACAGCAACGAAGTGATAGCCAAAGGGCTTGGTGAAGACTGGAACTAGAGATTGGCAAAACATCATCTGAGGAAAGGCATCAAGTGTCGATGTTGACAACCTCGCTCGTTATTCTACTGGGAGGAAAGAATCAGCATTGTTTATGGAATTCGCATTATCTGCTCTTCAACTGTTTATTCTGCTTTTCTTCGTTTTCATGTGTGCGGAGGCTTATCAAGGGCATCTGACTTCCCATATCTTTATCTCCCGCTATCGCAGAGGTCAGACAACCGGGAAAAGCTTGTTCCCTCGGCAATGAGACGCGTCTTCGTGAAAGTTCTCAGAGGAAATCTAAGTCTGGCGAGCCAAAGGGTCGTCAATCTCCGAGGAGGCTAGATTTAGCAACACTGAGACTAGTCTTCAGGACGAAGGAATTAACAGACTTAAGTTGGCTGGGTAGCCAACGTCAGTAATAACAAAATAAGCTCAGTCACCATCAGGAGGCAGATACAGTCACTTCTATATCCTAAAGACATACCCAAGGATCGCGAGGTACAAGGTCACCAATTTGCCAAGTTGCAGGGACTTCGCGAGAACTGTGCCGGGAATAATGCACCTCCACCAAGAAAAGATTGATTTAAGAGAATACAAATTCAGTCTTGAGACTTGAATAGTTGATTAACAAAGAAGAACGCCGGCCCAGGAATCGACCATCCGCCCGAACCAGCCCAACGCCGCCATATGCTGCTGTAAATAAGTTTGAAGCCATCAAGCAAAAAGTCTTCCCAGAGCAATGTCACCCATCTCTCATGCCACGTACGTCAAGCCCTCTCAGTGGAAACCCGACCATCTAGAAGGGTACCGTTCCCCTTGTTGATTGCTTCTGTTCCTCTTCGCGCTGGCAAAGGGGTTGTAATCGGGAGCACTCGTGTGGTCGAGAGCATCTGAGCCAGTCGATCTTCTAATCTCCGACTGCTTCAGTGGGCTTCCTCGACGTTGTTCCCGAGCAGCCATTTCTCTCGAGTTCCGGGGCGACATGAAGCCCTGGTTCATCTCATTAAGACTCGACGTCTTCTTGAGTGGCGAGTTCGCGTGGTTGAATACACCCAAGTTTCCGCCAAAGCTCGTTCCTCCTGTGTTCGCGGTGGACGTTGAGGTCGACTGGTACATGGGTGCCGGCGGGAGACTTTGCCGGACCGAGCGAGTGCTGGGCACAGGGGTGAAGGACTCGGATCGCCTGTTAGACGTCGGAGTAAAGAGACGGGATGCGAAGCTGCTAATTGGAGGAGTGTGGACCGGGTCCTCCTGCTTGACGTGAGGATTGGGTGTAACCACAAACTCTTTCTTGATGACCGTCGTAGGCGTTCCCAGTTCGACAAAGGACTCTTCATCCTCAGCCTCTTCAGGCGAACACTGTGTGCCGACATCGCGAACAACCGGGTGAAGACGTGGCCGCACGAACTTGGTGTCGTACTCGTGGAGGACCTCCTTGTGGATGATAGCCGTATCCTTGATCTGCTGAGCATACCGAGTTTGGACGAAAATCAGCTGGACGGAAAGAATGAGTTGCAGCACAATGCAGTTGAAAACTGTTACACTCGGTCTGGGATCCAAGGGCACCAGAGGGAGGAACATCATGTAGACAAGGACGTGGCCAGGGCTGAAGAGGCAGAAGAGCTGCAAAGAGACCGGGAGAGGATCCCAGACACTTAGCTCCCAGACGTCGTGTGATCTGTCGGGGTGGGCTCGCGACTCGGCAGTCTCGGAAGACAGGAGGTTATTCAAGAGTCTCAGGGGCGAAGAGACGGCCGGGTCGGACCTGGCTTTGACTCGTTGGGCTGAGGGGGTGTGCGGCTTGTCTTCAACGTTGACTTGGAATAATCGGTACTGCCTCGTTCTCGACATGGTATAGAAGGCGTTGGCGACAGATAGGAGGCCAAGAATCCAAACGAGGGGCCGCACCTGAGGACTCGTTAGTAACCATGATGCGCAACCCATGCGACTCGATGCTACTGACAATGTAGGTGACGATGCCCCCGGAGCTCCCATCGCTGAACACATCATCCTCGACCTCCGATGCTACGCAGTTAGCTCTAGCAAGGAGAAACACGAAGTTGCAGCCGAGCCCGAGCTGTGTTCCTAGTGCCTTTGAATCCCAATCTCTCGTCTCCAATTCTTCCGATAGCCAGAGCAAGAAGTCCATAGGGTTCAGCATGGCCTTCAGGCGCTCAGAGAGCGGCTTCTTTCGCACTAGACGCGGCATCTCGTCAGATTGCGCTTCTTGCCATCAACAGGCGACTTCTGGGCGGATGGGATTCTGGAAGCCTCGAAGGCGATGGTTTCGTGGTCGACGGGCGGGATCGAGTGGTGCGTCGGTGTCGTTTGTCGTCGTTGTCGTCGTCGATTTCGTCGCTAGGTGAAATTGTTTACAAAGAAGTCTGGGTCTATTGATTTTTGGGCCATTGTCCCGCTGCTAGGCAAGAGGAGCTTTCGACAGGGGTACCTTCCTTATGTGCATGGACCGTAAACTGAAAGCATCTGGGAGATAATACGTACCGGAACGCTGCAAGTGGGGTCTCCACTGGCTTCTGTCACATAGCCCACACCTCATCCGAGCCTGTTAGCAGTTCGGGCTCCAGCAGGCGGTACCTGGCAGAACAGCGCTAACAGCACTTCAGCCACAGTGAGGTGCTGGAGTGGAGCGCTGCCAGCCCGCCGCCAGGTCGGGTACAGGTAATCAAGGCAAGTACGTCAATCCGTCCGCCGACCTCCTGGGCCATCGCAAGCTCTCCAACAACCGCACAAGTCATCCAAGATGGCTTCGCAAGCAGATATGAAGGACCGCCAGTTCCTCGCCGTCATTGGCGACGAGGTAGGACACTTTGCGTAGTCGACACTATGACTGATTACAAATGGCTAAAACTTGAGAACTAGGACTCGGTCACCGGCCTCCTCCTCGCTGGCATTGGGGTGCGCTCTTTCGACTCCACGACGATTCCGATTGCGGCTCGAGATAACTAACAAGTGCACAGCACGTCAGCACGGGTGCCGACCAAGAAAAGAACTTCCTGGTGGTGGATAGCAAGACGGACACCGCTACGATCGAGTCTACCTTTGAATCCTTCACTTCAAGGAAGGACATTGGCATCATCCTCATCAACCAACACGTCAGTAGCGATCCCAGGGGGGGGGGGGGGCCTTGTGCCAAGAGAACACATACTGATTGAAAGAACAGATTGCCGATCGCATAAGACATCGGGTCGATACCTACACTGCTGCTTTCCCGACCGTTCTCGAAATTCCGAGCAAGGACCACCCGTACGACCCCGAGAAGGACAGTGTTTTGCGCAGAGTGCGCCGGTTGTTTGGCGAATAAGCATGTCATTCCACAGATTATGGGGATAGTAAGAGCCAAGAGGCAAAAGCATGGTGCGCCGGCAGCGTATTCGGAGTTTGGATGGACCGCACCGGCCTATCATGAATAAATTGCGAGCTACATGCCTAGCACCGCTACCCTATGTACGTACGCATTGTTATGCCGATACTCCTACGCAGAATGAACACCTAAAAGGACCCTCAAACGGATCCATCACACGGGCGAAGTTGAACTGCGTTATGCCAAATTCCTAATGCTACCAGTGTTATGAGATGAAGTGAAACCCCAACAGCAATCTGGATGTATCGCTACGTGTGACTGTAACCCATGCCCCATCATCGTAAACCTTCGTATGCTTGTAATTAAGTTAAAGCTCCAAGCTGAAGAAGCTCTTGGTGTTGCGCGAGAAAACGACTTGAGCGGTCAAGCAGGTGATGGGGACATCATCGGCGGTGTAGACGTCAGCAAAGACGGTGTACTTGCCCTGTAGATATTGTCAATAACCTGATAAGGTTCATATAGATGAGCCTGACTTACGGAGGGGATCTCGTTAGGAAGCTCGACAGACTTGGTGACGGTGAGAACACCCTTCTCGATGGGGCACTCAAGGTCGACGTTCTCGATCTGCTCGCAGAGGTCCGCCTTGGTGCTGATAAGGCGGATGAGGCCGTACTTGACCTGGAGAAGGACGTAGGCGCCCTTCTCGATGTTCTGCTTGACGGTGCCGGAAGCCTTGATGACGAGCTCCTTGCCACTGAAACGCCATGTTAGCTGGCTCCCGTTTCACGATACTGCGGTATGCATCGTCATAGACTGGGGGCTGCTGCAAACGAACTTACGCCTGAGGAGGGTTGGGAGAGAGGTCTACGCTGTCGATTGTGACGATGTCCTCATCATGGGACTTGGGGCAGAGCTCCAAAGGCGAGTCGCCGGGGACCTTGAGGTCATCGTTAACAATGACGGACTGGTCTCTCTGGACCAGGACGCTGGCACCGGCCGGTGCGAGACCGGCGGAGAGGAAGGCGATGACAGCTGTGGCGAACCTCATCGCGGTTAGAGGTCGAGGTCGTTTAGTGATTAGGAAGATGGGGTATGGGCGGTTCGAACAACGGCGGTCTCGATGTCGTTGATGATGCTCGGTGTGTACTCGTCGGCGTCCGAGGTTCGATGTTTAGCGTGAGGATGATGGGAGGTGATAGAGAAGTGGTTCCTGCGAGTGGCTTTGGTTGGTAGGTGGTGAGCAACGAACGGGGCTGGGTTCGGAGGGAGAACGTCATGGGGACAACGTCAGATCGATCTGATTGGATGGAGCTAGGTGGACCTTGGTCGGGACAAGCGCCTTTGCCTTCCCCAGCGACCATGGCGACATTGGAGGTACCTTTCATTGCATATCTTTGGTGTAGAGCAAGCAGTGCCCTTTGTATAGGTCTGTACATTGAAGTATAGCTATTTGATTATAGACTCACATTGCAGAAGTAATAGCCGCAAGGAGCCTCCGAAATAATGCTTTTGCTGGACCAAAGCAAGTACACTAGACAACGACAGAGCCTCTTGAATGCTGTCCCAAAAGGTACATCGAATCCTGTCGTCGTCGTCGTCGTCGCACGGGCCACCGTAAAATTCCCACTCTTCTGCTTCGTTCCCCTCCAAAGATCCCACTTTCGTTATCGACTTCCCAGCTCCAGATTACCTCCCGCCTTCGTCTTTTGGAGATTGAAACGGCCGAGTCCCTCGATTACGAGCTGCAACCATGGAATTGCGTCGCGAGTGCCATATCACCATTTGCGCATTGAAGGAGCCGTCCATGCGCAAACAAGACGGAGCGCCACACGAGGAAGGAGCTGTCGGCGTTCTAGCCACAATAATGGACTTGACTTTTCGCCTCCGCCTGTGCTCACTCCTATGCGACGGCTGGAGCCTTGTCACACAGAGCAGCTGGGCTGTTTCGACGGCCCAGGTTTTGTTGGAAGATCCCTGGAACTCTGGTCCCGTGGACAGAACCGAAGCAGACAGACAGCAACCTCAGCATTGAAAGCCCAGTGCCAGCCAAACTGTTCAGGGTCTCTCCATCATCACAAGCCGCTGGCTCCTCCAAGATCTTCAGTATCAGAGCCAGAACTGCTTGGTGCGCCCTTCGATCCAAGCATCTTCGAGGTCTCGACTGCGCAGGTTTCGTGATTGGACAGAACTCCGTCCGCGATTCAAGAAGTCGTGCTACGGCATGGATGATGACCTGAAAAGAAAGGTAGCCACACCAGGAGCCACACCATCTCATGCGTCTTTCATGGTGGGAAAACCGTGGTGCACGGGTCCGTCGGCTTGTACCAATCAGTCCGGCGTCGAGTGCAGGGAGCTGGCACAAACAAGTGCTCGAGTGAACCGGAAAGTGTGGCCAACCTGCTTGGACGATGATTGGGGACCGTGGTCAACAAGTACGGGGCACCTCGACAACTCAGCTGCAGCCCTGGCTATCAGTGTCGCAAACTTTTGGACAAGTCTCGAGGACGCGATCATAGGACAGGGAGATCCTAGCTAGAGGGACACCGGCCGCGAATCATGCCGGGGCCCTTTTACGCCAGCTGGGTGCGGATGGACGACGGAAAACCGCGACTCTTTGTTTTGTTTGTCTGCTCGGTATCTCCAGTTGAGGAGCAGGATGATGGGGCGAGAAAGCGGAAGGATAGCGCAGTTCCTCCCGTCGATCACCGAGGAAGCATTATTATGAACGGCAAAGGCTCGACGAGCCTTCGAGACGGCAGCGGGCACTGATGTTCCCCCCCTACGTCGTACTGTACTTGGAGCACCCGGGCGCTCTGGGCAACCAGTCAACCCAAGGGCAACAAGGACCACAACTGCTCGCAAAGGCGCCGCGCGTGGTCGCATTTCGAGGCGCGCAATTGTGCTGGACCTGAGGAGCATTGACTGAAGGTGGTCAAAGTACCGATACTTCTGCAACTATGGCTTGGTGAGGCAGATAGATGACACCTCAGCAGCCCAAAGGGCCGCCCCCCATGCCTCCGTTTCTGTGTACACACTCACAGTTCACAGTAGAGTTCAACGCAGCGTGCCATTTACCGAGCTCTTGGAGGCCAACCTAGTCTGTCTTGGTGAGGGGTCGAGCCATTTGGCGCAGATGGTTGAAGGGGCATCGGGCGACGGCGTGGGATTTGGAGAAAAAAGGAGAGCAACTGGAGGCGAGAGTCAGCTACGCTACTCCGTACCGAAGTGTCGAACGAAAGGGTGGGATGAAGTTCCAGTGCCGAGAGGGGACGCTTCGCATCAGCCTGCAGTGATGATGACTTCAAGCTGCATGCTGCTGTCGCCTTGGGTTGACGAGCTGTGCAAGAGGCTTCACGGAAAGTGTGATGGTGGAAGAGCTCCAGCTGCAGTCATCAAGGGCCGCCTCTGCGGGCGGTTGACCTTACGGCGAAGATACTTACCTCTGCGACACAACCAGCGAAAGCTTCCGTCAGCCGTGAGCGTGGGCGAGCAGAGACAGACTCTCGCTCACTCTAGAGTCAACATTTGCGCATCCGAGTCGGAGCTGTTTGTCACCTCCAAAACTCCAACGCAAAGTCGCATGCAAAACTGCAGGTCTCCAGCTTGACCAGGGGGAAGGGCGACTTGTTGCAGGGAGCGAAAGACCGGCTCCATGCACGATAATATTAGGCCCTGGCAGTAAGACCCGGTCGGCCATTCCCAGATTGATCTACTGACCAATGAAAGAAGGGAGAGGGATGTTGAGTTGAGACCTCAGACAAGTGGGAATCGGCAGGACGCGACGCTACGCCGTGGGACTTGCGGCTTGGGGGAGGAGGGACTTCACCATTTTGGGTTTTTAGAAGGAGCATCAGAAATGCTGCCCTTTCGCAGACAAGCCCCACTTTATCCAATGGAAATCCAATACAATCCGATCCCACTGCAGCCGAAAAGAGTCGCTGAGCCAGAGACGTATAGAGATGTACCTTTTCTTCCTTTTGCTTCCTTTGAAGTTCTCAAGGTACCTCGGCCTATCTATCCAGTAAGTCACTCCCGTCCTCGTTGAGGTGTGTACGTACATGTAACTATGGGTGGCTGATTTTGGTGTAGCGTCCGCTTCGTTTCCGTAGCCCTCGACGCGATGAACTCTCGACTGCCGTATTCGTACCTTTTCGGCTGGACACACAATTCTGCGACGAGAAGTGAGAAGCTCTTCTATGATGGATCAGAGAGAGAGAGAGAGAGAGAGAGAGAGAGAGAGAGAGAGACGAATGTGGATATTGGGCTTGGATGCGAAGAGCATTCGAAGCAGTGGAGTCCAGAGTGGATGACGGCGCCTTGAAGTCTGCCCATGGTCTCCCATTGGAGCAGAGGCCTTCTTTCTCAGTCTCACCACTCACCACCTCACCTCCAGCGGAGGGGCCCCCGAGTGTCTCTCCAGTCCCGTTGGCTTCTTCTACCCCTGGCGCCATGGCGGGTTGGACTTGGGCTGCCCTCAACCGGAAAGTGACTCTTGCCACCCGCCCACGTCGTCTAGCTGCCTACCTAGCACAAATCAGAGAAGAGCAACCACTCACTTGTTCACAAGTCGGGCAGAATAGGGGGCAAGGGTACAAAGGTTTCCTGCGAAACGACGCGCCAACGGCAAGTCACTCGAAGGCCTCCTATTTTAAGAAAACCCAGATTGCGCATAATTGGACGGGCCTCACGTCTCCCTCGGGATGGGATGAAAGCCATGGTCATCCCCGATTCTCAGTCTTGAATTTCGCTGGTTTGGTTTTCCAAAGACGCTATCATGCTTGAAGGCATCGAATTCGACGCTTGTTCAACTGGAACTCAACGAGGAGATCAACGCGACGCCGGCATTCTCCCGCTCATAGTACGGAGCACACAGGCAATCAAACCTACGCTTATCTTATGCCTAGCCTTCCGTCGGCTAGATACCAGTCAGATACTCTCTCTCCCGTGTCTCTGGCGTCGACTTCTCTAGGGATTCAGTGCTCACAGTTGTTCACTTCCGCCTACGCCCTCCACGCCTACTTACCTGACGGATATCTTATTCGTCTCCGCATATGGCACGCGGATGTCCTCTCTTTTGCAGGCAGAAACCAGCGAAGCAAGGCATCCATGAACCCATCCATCCGTATGGCGCACGCAGAGTCACTCCCGTCGCGCGGGTCACCCCTCTTTCGACCAGTCCTCGACCAGTCTGCCGTCGCCTTTCGCCCTCGGTCGTTCCACCTCTCGCTCCTCCCGTCACATCCGCCCGGCGTTTCTGCTAGGGCCAGAGAGGATCCATCACCCAACTCGCACCAAACACCAACACCACGCTGCCTGCCCATTTCTTTCTCTCTTATTACTCATTAAATCTTTGCATGCCGCTTCTTGTCCCTCCACTCCCACCAGACGAGTCTGCCTCTTGTTTTTGTTCACATCAAACCGACGTTCCGTGGCCGCCAGCTGCTCTCATCAAGATGATGAGAGTCTGTTCTAGTCGAATGCCTCCTTGACTTTGTTTTCGGTACACTTATTGCGGATAGTGTCTTCACTCCACTTTCTCTCCAACATTTTGCTTCTTTTATCACGCAGACTTGGATTTTTTTTTTCTTTCGCCCTCTCCGCCTCCTTCTTTGCCTGGTCGACCTCTCAGGCGCGTCTGGTGCGGAGGGCTAACAAGGCACTCACCAGTCCTTCATCAGACGGGAACCATCACACACTTTCCCATTTTCTCTGTGTCTGGTTGCGGCCTGAAACCTCTTCTGCCTGAGGCATCATGGATCTGCGCTAGACATCTGATTGGACAGTTGGAGCCACTCATATCAGCGTGTCCACCGCCTTTCGGGCTTAGCTTCAAGTAAGTACCGGTACCTCTGTACCCTTTCTTCCCTACACACGGGCTTTGGCTTTTCTGCCCTCGTCTCCCGTTCTCTCTCTCACTCTCTTCCTCGTCTGTCTTCCCGTCTCTAGTCTCCCCCCGTCCTGTTGTCGTCGCCCTTCCCTCCAGTGCATGTCCGGCCATACCAGGCTGTGACGGCTGGCGGACTGGCTGGTGGTAGCCAGTGCTCCCCAGCCAGCGGGCAACGGGCCAGGTGCCAGGGCATCTCAAGCTGAGCAGGTGCGATGCTCCCCAAGCATCCCAGCACCCAGCAACCCGTCCTGAGTCCTCATCGCCCTTCCCCCCAAAAAATCCCATCTTCGAAGACGCCCCCCCTTCCCTTGCCTTCCCTCCCCCCCCCATCTTCCAGTCCGCAATCCGCGCACCGAAGCACAAGGTGCCAGTCAGTCCCCAAGCCCGCAGAGTCCAAGTCCCCCAACCTAAGCAGTGCAGTCACTGTTCCTGCTCGTTCGCCCTCTCTCTCTTTTCGGCTTGGCCTAGGCTCCGGCCTGCACGCTCCTGCACTGGGACCTGTCTCGCTCAACTCGTACCGCACCGCACCAGCACCAGCACTGCTACCTACTACTCCTACCCAGGTACTGCTGCTGCTGCTGCCACCACCACCACCACCGCTGGTGTCTGCTACGCTCCTTTGGGGGACCCATCCATCTTTCTCTCCTTCGTGTCGTGCCCCCCTCTCTTCTTCTCTTTCAATCTCTTTTCCACCCTCACTTGCTCGACCCAAAACACCCTTCTCTACCTCACCTCCGGTCCTCAACACTCGATTTCCTCCTCATACTACATTCTCCCGACTCGGCCCAGCTTTTCGAAACGCTCCATCCCTCCCCGTCGACGAGGCGCAACCGCTCAACCCTTTCTTCGACTTGATCCGTCTTCTGGCTTCGATCGGTCCGTGGACACGCTCTTCGCGATCACAATTCGAAAAGTTTTCCACCTCACGACGCCCACAACACACGCTTGTGACAACCTAACGGTGTTTTCCTGGTTTCGGGACGACCGCGGTGTGTGAAAAGCGATTTGTTGGACCGTTCCTCGCCTCTGCGACGACCTGTCCTTTGTGAGCCGGACTCGACAATCCCACCGAGTCCTACCTTACCCAGCTTCGTCGAGAACCCTCGACTCGACCATACCCTTCCCGCCGACGGATGACGACGGCCCTGCGTACTGCTGTTTCTGTGGTTCATTCGACGGCTTGTACCTGTGCGTCTAGACAGACGTCGTCATGCTACCCAGGCCGCAACAGTAATCATCTCACCCAATACCTCGACTTCAATTCGCACTACGAGGCAAACCTAGATTATGACCGAAAAGCCCCAGCCGCTGTCGACGCAGACCGCGACTCCTAGTCAGACCCTCTTCGCCCCGAGCGTACCAGTCTCAACACACAATGTGCCACGCAAGGCCGAGACGGTAGAGGAAGAAGAGCCGTACACGATCAAGTGTATTTGCAACTTCACTGACGATGATGGAAACACGATCTATTGCGAGACGTGTGACACGTGGCAGCACATCGACTGCTTTTACCCTCACAGTCGCGAGGAGGCCCTCCGCGAAGACTTTGCCCACTCGTGCGCTGATTGCAAGCCGCGCCCCCTAGATCGACAAAAGGCCATCGAGCGAACCCGGCGACTAAAGAATGGTCCTACGACAGAAACCATACCAGATAAGAAGGCCAAACGCCCGCCATCCAAAAGCCACAAGAAGAAGCCAAAGCCAACGGACTTGCAGTTGAATGGCCACCCTGTGGGCCAGGAGAATGCAAAGCACGGAAGTCCGAGCGACCACCCTCACCCAACCAAGAAGGTGAAGTCATCCCATCGGCCATCCCATTCGATCAGTTCTCAGAACGCAAAGCGAAGTCCTTCGTACGGCAATGGTGGGCGATCACAACCCAACGGCCACCCCCCAAGCCCAGCAACTACTCCCCCGGACCTTCCGAGCGATTTCCAAATACACAATTACTCGGACGGCTTCTTGTCCATGAGCAAAGAAGCAGACATCCCCATCACTCGCATCAATTCCTTTGCGAGCCTCTTCGTTTCCAATACCTTGTCAGTTTGGCTTCGGGAACCGGATCGCATGAGGCAAGAGACGGGCGAGGAATTCAACGACGTCTTTGCTAAGCTGCCGAAAGACATTGACGCTCGCAAGCGTCAGCTTCACGTCGAGAGCAAGAAGATTCCTGTCTCGCCAGAGACGACATTACGATGGCAATATCTTGCTACCCCTGCCGCCATCGAGAAAGACGTCCCTTTGATTGAACTCAACGGCGTGATCGGATTCCAAAAGGACTACTGCGCAGATCCCGAAAACCTATGGGAGGAACTTTCATCCCCGTTGCCTTTTGTTTTCTTCCACCCCATGCTTCCCTTGTACATTGATACCAGGAAAGAAGGATCGATGGCTCGCTTCGTTCGAAGAAGCTGCAAGCCCAACGCCCTGCTGGATACGTACCTGTCAGGCCAATCCGAGTATCACTTCTGGCTCATGAGCGACAGATACATCGCGGCAAACGAGCAAATTACTCTACCATGGGACTTTAGGCTACCCAAGAAGTTCCAGGCACGGTTAGTGCATCTGCTGGGCCTCGCTGACGACGACACCAATACGCAGAACGAGTCTGAGATGGACGAGGCTGAGTACCAAACACTATCGGGCTGGATTCATCGGATATTGTCCGAGTACGGCGGCTGTGCGTGTGACTTGGGTGCGAACTGTGCCTTTGCTCGCTTCCACAGACAACACCAAGCGAAGGTTCAGTCTCGGCCTCCCGCAAAGAAGAAACAACGAAAGCCAAAAACCCACACCATCTCTCCCACCAGCACCGGTCACGCTACAAACAGTCGCGCAGCTAGCGAGGGACACCAAGACGACGCCGACAACGACGGTCGGTCAGTTTCTGAGCGCAGCAAACCGCCTAGTCGTGATCGCACGCCCGTACGCCAGGGTTCATTGGATCGGCCAGGTATCCTCACAGAACCGACTGACAGGGACAAACGCAAGGTTCAAATGGTTGAAGACTCATTCCGACGAATGGAACAGCAACAACCTCCACGCAAGAAGAAGCGAACATCCGATGGCACGGCATCCACTTCCGGTTCTTCCAAGACGAAACAACGGAGCTCAACCAGCAACGCATCCAGCGGCACTACACACTACGTCGATGCGGGAACATCTCGAAGCAAGTCGAATTCCCCTTCAAGTGGCGTGTCACCAACGGCACAGAATCCGTTCAAGGCACCTGCCTCCAGAGCCGAGTCGGTCGGTTCCCAGTCCGGGCGAACATCATCCACACCTCGTCCCGTTTACTGCGATGCCGGTGTACAAACCGACCCTGTCGAGGGCGAGTGGTACAGTGAGCCCGTTCAAACACCCAGGCCACGACGCCGTATCATTTCTCTTTCGCAACGGCTGCTCAACAATCGACACCGCCTACGCTGTGATGAAGTCGAGAGACGCAAGTCACTCTCTTCTCTCTCCGCTCGGGAACCAACACCCATGGACGTGGATCAACCAGCTGAGGTCAAGCCTAGTGCTGAATCTCCTCCGCCCTCCAAGGATATTGGCAATCAAGCCCGCGATACATCGCCAGCCGCTCCTCCTGCTGGCGATGTCGTGATGTCGGATGCTCCGACAAGTTCGCCAAGCACCGTAAAATCGCCCCTGCAGACCGACAGCGTTTCAGATGGACCCGCGAATGGCTCAAGCAGCCCGTTGAAGATGAGATCACCGGAATTACGAGTCACGATGCCACCGGTCCCTGCCTTCAACGGACCCACATCGGCGACTCCCAGTGCCTCAACACCATCGACAATTCAATCGCCGTTCTCCGCAAGCAGTCTACCCAGTCCATTTGCTCCGACTGCAGTCAATGGTGTTGCGGCACATCCAAGTCCGGTCAAGAAGAAGTTGAGCCTCAGCGATTACACCAAGAGCAGGATGAACAAGGCCAAGCCTGCTGGCACTCTGAAGACCTCACTCTCTGGCACTGAGGAGACGAAGCCAACGCTCGATGCTATCGTCGATTCTCCAGTGATTGAGAAGAGTGCGGATGTTCTTACACCCGTTACGGGCAACACGATCAACTTGAATTCTGCGGCTGCGGCCGGCAACACGCTGTAACATAGAACGGGGTCCACGAGTTCCGAAGATGGCACAGCGGCTTTTATTTCCCCTCTAAATATTATCAAAAACGTTTCGGGGCGGCGACAGTCTGGTGATTGACTTTGGCGTTTGGGCAGCGACGGACAATGGGAATGGGAAAGGGGAAGGGGTTCCTCGGGTTCGGTCAGCGCTTTTTCGGGAATGTCTTCAGATGAACTTCGTTTTACTGTTGTTTTTGGGAGGAGCTGCAAAAAGAAAATGCACGTCTTACGAAAAACACACAAGCCCATTTCGACACTATTTTATTTTCGTCGTCTGGCAGGAAAGCTGAATCTTTTCTTCGATGGGGGGTCTATGGCGTAACGTAAGGGGGACATGGACAGACGCAGTGAAGAGCCGGGTATCGACCGATACGAGATGAAAAGACCGGGAAAGGAGGTTCCAACTACTCTTGCCACGAACGGCATGTTTTCGTGTGTATTTCTAGGCTTTGTTAGCTGTGCCGGGCGACGTGGAAGTCGCCTCGGTGCGGGACTACTACACCCCTCCCATGACAAATGGATGGCTCTTTTTTTGCAGCTGGAAACAGGCTGCCTAAGTTTTCGCTCACAGAATACTGCTTCCCTGATACCATACTTGTGATGTGACTTTTGCAATTCTATCTTGATTTTATCGACCATCTCTCAAGAGTGTCCATCTCGGGTCTTACATACACGCCAGGTACTCTTACAGGGTATCTCAATTTCAAACCTCCAACCAATTCTTTTGGTATAGTACAGACAGACGGCTCTCCTAGCCATGCCGTCCGTCCCCCATTGCGATGCGAAATCCAGACAAGAAAATGAGGCAAAAAAATCCGGATGGAACGCGGTCCCAGGATTGATGAAAATTGTTAAACGTGCGAGGTCCAGAGGTCTTTTGTAAGGCCCATAACACACGGCATGTTTACTCAGTATCTCTTGGTCGTCATACCCCAGTTATCCTCCTTAAAGATGAGCAGAGCGAGGCGATGGCGAACAAAGAGGCCAAACAGGCCGACAAAGAGCTGGAGGAAGGTGACCTCCCACGCGAGGCGGTCCTCTCTCAGGGGACCTCTCCAGACGAGCCACAGGTTGAGCAGGGTGAAGTTGCTCGTCTCCACAAAGCGGCCCTTTTCGTCCACTGTAACTTCCAGAAGGCGCAACTTGGCGAGCAGGTGCAGTCCTTGCGCGACGAGGGGCCGGGGTTGGCGTTCGGGGCTCCAAGGCGTCTTACTCGTCTCGAGGAGGCCGGTGCGAGCGTTGAATCGGGGCAAGCGGTGACGAGGGCAGGGGATGAGGCCAAAGATTTGGGGCGTCGAGTAGAGGAAGTTGAAGAGCTGGGGGACGAGGAGGAGGCCGAGCGTCTTTGAGAAGTGGCCGAGGATGCCGACGGTGGCGAAGACCATGCCGGAGAAGTAGCAGTAGGTGTCGCCGACGAAGACCTTGGCGGGGTACCAGTTGTGCAGGACGAGGGCGAAGGAGACGCCGAGCCAGGGGAGGAGGAGGTAGAGGGAGAAGAGGTGGGAGTCGGTGGCCGGGTGGGGGTAGGGCGTGAAGAGGTAGAGGCAGTCGTTCAGGACGAGGAGGAGGGAGACGACGATGCACTGGGAGACCTCGATGCCGTTGATGCCTGCGAGCATGTTGATGGACTGAGGGCAGAACATTGCGATGCAGGACATGTAGATGTAGTAGAGGACGCCGAGGTCGAAGAGCTCGCCGAGGTAGGGCTGGAGGGGGATCGGGATGACGATGGAGGTGACGCCAAAGTCGACAAAGTAGATTACGAGGATGGGGACCGAGGCCAGGCCTGGGATCCACCACTTGTGTCGCCATCGGATGTCGAAGAGGTCGTCGCCGATGCCTAGGAGGGCGGTCGTCTGGAGGGAGATGATTGCGGAAAGGTAGGAGGCGAGCTGGCAGTTTGGGATGTGTCAGTAAATAATCTCTCGTGGCGTTGCGCTCAAGGAGTCTCTCCTTGAGAGAGACGAGGTAGGCCGACCTTGCTATGGGGGAAGCGATGAAGAAATCGTCCCTGCTGTACATGCTCGACCTGGAATACAACGTCCCTGTTTCCACCACCGCTAGTGGCGGCAACAATGTCCTTGTAGAAGGGGAAGGGGATGAAGACGATGACGACGAGTAGGTAGACGGCAGCGCAGACGGCACCCATGCACTCGGGCAGCTCAGGGCGGTGGTGCTTTGAGAGGTCGCGACCCTTGAAGCCGGCCTGTTTAAAGACCGGGCCAAGCCATCGGATCATGGAGTAGGCCAGCGCAAAGGCCAGGACTGAGAGTGCCAGTGACGCTATCAGGGGCTCGCCCTCGCCCTGGAAGGCATTGAGGAGGACTGCGACTGCGGCAAAGGAGAGGGCTCCCAGGCTCAGAGTCTCGGTTCGGGTGAGGGTCGGAGAGGAGGTTGAAGAGGAAGCCATCTTGGGCTGTGGTATCGTCGGGTTTTGCAGGCAAGAACGCGCCCACCGCGGGTGGTTGTGGTACCAGCAGCTCTGTTCAGTTCCGGTAGCGTTTCCTTTACTTCTTGTAGGAGCCTAGGCTTGGCTGTGGTGCGATTGCATCGTACTCCTGTGCGCAAGGTGAGTAGACAGGTGCGCAGGTGGTTTTGTTTTCGGGAAAGAGTGGTTGAAGCTGCAACAATGGAAAGAAGAGAAAGATCGCAACGTCAAAGGTTCTGCAATGGGACACAGTTGCAGAAGGTGGAGGAGGGCTTCGTCAGTTTGGAGAAAGAGGTCCCCACTCACTTCCAGGGGGGGCGCGTAATCGGATGGTGGCTTTCCCTTTTCCTGTCTTCTTTTTTTGGAGTATGCGGACGGATAGAGTGTGGAAACCACGCTGAACTTTCCCATGTGGGCACTGGGCTTTCCGGGAGGCTGCGGGGCAGATACGCAGTGCGGCAGTGGGCTGTGGAGGTTCAGGGAGCGTCAGGAAAGGAAGGCGAGGAACCAGCAACCGAAGTGGAGCCGGGGAACGGTTACAAGTTACAACCTTCCACCTTATTGCACTTGTAGGCTGTTGCAGCTGTTGCAGCCTTTGGTCTGTGCGAGACTTGGCTCTTGAGTACTGGAGAGGCGGCGCATTGACCAGTGGTTGAGTCTGTAGTATCCATAGCCTGGCAATTCTAGATGAACTCTATCTCTACAGTTGATTGATTACAAACTCTAAGGCTCTTGTTGCATTGGTAACTGGAACTTCATCCTTTATTTCCTAGCAGTCTTCTCGCTTATAGGTACTTACACTACAGCTGTATATGCATTTGATACAACTCACAATTCCGCCGTGACAGCTATCTACCTTAGATAAGTACATGAAGCTTACAAACACTATTCCAGCTCGCAACCAATGACCACCAGCTGCGGAAACTAAAGCAGAAAACGCGGAATTAAGCATGCCACGGCAAAGAGATGACGGAATGCCCAACACTGCCGATTTGCCGTATTGGTGGTCAGCCCCAATCCCATTGTTCCGTTGCGGATCTCCATGGATAATCCACGGCTCCGTCTCCAACGAACCCCGCGTCCTAGACTCTCCCGTCGCCGTCACCGCCCATCACTGAGAGACAAGATCCGAGGTTGCTTGTCCTTAGTGTGTACCTTAGTCTTAGAGGTCCACCGCACCCTACCCAAGGTAGACTCAACCTGCATTCTTCTCGTTCTTTGTGTATCCATACTATGTGCCCCTCCAATCCCCGATCCCCCAGACCCCAACTATGCCCGTCTCGAAGCGGGTACGGAGATAAAAATCTGGAGTTACTAGCCCCGACTCAGAGGACGCAGAGGGGAGTGAAATCCCCGGCGGCGGAAGAGAGGCTAAAACGCACTTTCCTGCAGGTTTAGCCTGCAAGTCGCAAGGGGGGGTCGGCCGAAAGATGATGGAGATGGGGACTTTGGACAGTACTGGTCGAATAACGTTACACCATTCACCTCAACTGATCGTCGCCCTTGCCTCGCCCTCGCGCCCTTCCCTACACATAGTACACAAGGGTAGATGCGGCAACTGGGGGGAAAAGGAAAGGAGAGGAGAGGGGGGGTCTCGGGTTAGAATTACTAAAGCAGTTTCCCTTACTGCTCACGCCGTAGAGTCACGGCAGCGCAACTGAGTAGGTATTATTGCTAAGTGGATAGATACGCCAGGCACGCGGATACGTGCTTGCTCCTCCCGCCGGCTACTACTTCCGGGCCCATTGCTCTTTCCCATCCTCATTTTCAATTTCCCATTCATTCTCCTTTCACCTACAAAACCCCCTCCTTCCTACTTTTCAATTTCGAGTGGTATCACTATCAACTACTTTGATCAATCTTTTCACCGACTGCTCATTCATAGGCATCATCCACTTTTGTCAGCCAAGAATGACGTCCGAGAAGGACGTGGAGACGCCGGCCGGCGCCCACGGGCACCGAGGATCCTCTTCGGAGCAGGGCACCCTGACGGAACGGGACACTCGACAAAACTTCAACGCATCAAGCGATTTGGAAAAGGGTGAAAAGACTGAAATGGAAGAGAGAAAGAGCTTCGACGATGTTGAGGATACGCCCGACAGCGAGCCGTACCAGGAGGTGAGTTTCCATATTCTCTGCAGATGTTCCTTGGCAGGACTTTTGCGCCTGCTTAAGAGTTTGCCAAGGCTCAATGGCCATTGGCACTTTATTTGTCTTTTCCTATGACTTCTCCGGGAGTGCCCAATTCCGTTACAACCCAATGTCATTTATACTTCGTGATGCTCGTTCTGCGCTAACTCCATCTCCAGGACATCGTCGTCGAGCGCATACATACAGGACACTCCCACGCCAGCGCGAAAAGTCGCCTCTCCCGCATAGCAAGCCTAGCCTCCTCACGCCGCAAAAAGGAAAAGGAGCAGCTCCCTCCCACAATCCACCCCGTCTCCGACCTCGACAATGGCCTCGTCGGCTGGGACTCCCAAGACGACCCGGCCATGCCCATGAACTTCCCCCGCCGCCGCAAGTGGATCATCATCTGGTTCCTGGCCGGCATCACCTTCATGACCCCCTTCGCCTCGTCCATCCTCGCCCCCGCCATCGAGTACCTCAACGAGGACTACGGCAACGCAGACCTCACCCTCGGAACGCTGCCCGTGAGCATCTACCTCCTAGGCTACGCCGTCGGCCCCCTGATCCTCGCGCCCCTCTCCGAAATGTACGGCCGCCGCCCCGTCCTCACCGCGGCAAACTTCTTCTTCTGCGCCTGGCTCATAGGCTGCGCCCTCGCGCCCACGCTCGACTCCCTCATCGTGTTTCGCTTCCTCACGGGCATGGGCGGCTCCGGCTGCCTCGCCATCGGCGGCGGCGTCATCGCGGACATGATCCCCATCGCCGAGCGCGGCACCGCAATCTCCATCTGGATGGTGGGGCCCCTCGTCGGCCCGACAATCGCTCCCATCGTCGGCGCCTTCGTCGCCCAGGACGTCGGCTGGCGCTGGTGCTCGTGGATCGCCTTCATCGCCGCCACGCCCATGGCTCTCGTCATCGCCGTCTTCAACCAGGAGACCAACCCCCGCGTCCTCATCGACCGCAAAGTCGCGCGCCTCCGCAAAGAACTGAACCGCCCCGAGCTCCGTAGCGTCTACGACGACACCGCCCCGGGCGCCGCGCCGAAATCCACCTCCCAGGTCCTCCTCCGCGGCCTCGTCCGCCCCATCAAGATGCTCTTCCTCTCCCCCATCCTCTTCAGCGTCAGCCTCTACTGCGCCTTCGCCTACGGCGTCCTCTACCTCCTCTTCAGCACCATCCCCCTCGTCTTCTCCTCCACCTACGGCTTCTCCGTCGGCACCACGGGGCTCGTCTACATCCCCCTCGGCCTAGGCTACCTCATCGGCATGGCCTGCTTCACCCTCCTCTCCGACCGCACCGTCGTCCGCATGACAAAGGCCAACAACGGCGTCTACGAGCCCGAGATGCGCCTGCCCGACTGCATCTACTTCGCCGCCCTCCTCCCCGTCACCTTTTTCTGGTACGGCTGGACCGCCCAGTTCCACACCCACTGGGCCGCCCCCGTCGTCGGCCTGCTGCCGTTCGGCATCGCCATCCTCGGCATCTGGCAGCCCATCCAGGCCTACGTCATCGACGCCTACCCGGCCTACGCCGCCTCCGGCATGGCGGCCTTTACGGTGTTTCGCAGCGTCGTCGCCGCCTTTTTGCCCATGGCGGGACCGTCCATGTACGCCGCCCTCGGCCTCGGGTGGGGCAACAGTCTGTTGGGGTTCATTGCCGTTGCGCTCATCCCCGTGCCGGCGTTGATATACCGGTACGGAGGCCGCTTGCGCAAGTGGCAAAAGTTGGAACTTTGATGAGGCGGAGAGAGTGTGTAGGGATAAATGGTCAGTTAGATAGACTGGGCTTTGTGAGACAAAGTGTGTGGTAAAATTGCAAGATACCCATTAGATGTAGAGTTTGTAATCAATCGATAAAATCATCGCTTCGTGTCACTTTGGCCATGTTTCGTCTCATACCTTAGCAGTGCTGAGCTGAAGACATAAACCCCGTGCCTGACCCCTGAATGGAGTCGACCTACATTGCACATCACCACCAAAGTAGACGAGTCGAAAATAGAACCCCCAGAAAGCCAAAATTCAAGGCACGGGGTGTGATCCAAAAGAGTCCCATTATCATTACTTCTAAACGATATAATGTTCGGCCGTCACAGTCATCAATAGAAACCCCCTCCTCATTTCTCATGCGTCGGTCGCCCCTTCATCATCAAATGAGCTCCCACTTCATGAGGAACGTCCAAGCCATGCCGCACCTCCCCTTCTTAGAAAAGTAGTAGTCGGCCGTCATGCCCCTGGCGTCCTGCCCATCAATCGTGGTGATCATGGCTACGCTAACGCTCTGGCCCGGCGCGCCGAGGTCGATGGCGTTGACGTCGGCCCAGTGCCAGAACCCGTCCGTCTGAATGGGCACCATGTCGTCCTTGCGGCCGTCCCGCCCCTTGATGCTGAGGAACAGCAGCGGGGGCTTCCCCTTGCCGTGCTTCTCCGAGGTCCAGTGCTCGCACTTGTTGGACCACTGGAAGCGCACGACCTGGCCGCTGTGGACGGGGATCTGGAGCTCCTTGGGTTCGACGGTGTGGTCCCAAACGCCCTCTTCGTACGCGTGCGTGTAGACGATGGGTTTGTCGCCGTGTACTGGGCCAATGTAGTATTCCTCCCAAGAGGGTACCCTGCCGTCGGGTCGGAAGAAATGCCTGTCGTCGCTTGGATAATGCGATAGTCCAAAAATGTCGTTCCTTCGAGTGAACTCGTGCGGCTTGAACGACTTGGTGTATTCTTTCGTCACATCAGACACGTTGCCGGCACCCCAGCAGGCATCGAGCAATTTCCACTCCCCGCCGTCGATTCGTACCGCATTCCACGCATGGCCGTCAGCCTTCTTCGGCGGCGGACGCTCCCCCTTCTTCAGCGCGG